CTAAACTTATTTTCAGCGCTGGCACTTTGAGGTAAATACATTGATTTAGCCTCACAGTTTGGGCACTCGGGTTCAAAAAGGTTCGCCATCACTGCCCTAGAGCTTCCATTAATAGGGTGACAATGCTGCCTGTGCAAGGAGCGGCAGCGTTGTCACCCGTCTATAAAAGCTCCTGAGCTCTACCCACCACAACCTTCATTAGTAACCTTTCTAAGTCGGGGGCTTTTTAAAGACGTCACTACAACTTTTAGCTCATGGCTGCACACAGACACTGAAAGCTTTTATTCCATGCTGCCGCAGCACACTTGGCTTGAATGTTAAGATCTACCTTTGAATTCTTTTAATAAAAAAAGTAAAGAATACCTAATGGAAAGTATGTTCGATGAGGGTTTCGATAGCCTTTAATGTATTGTAACAGGCTGCCTTTGTATATTTTTTTGGTGTTCCAATCTGTTGTCTCGTCTCACACTCCTCCCTCTTCTATATCCATTGATTTCTACATATTCTTATAATGCATAATGAGAACAATACAGTCAAAGGTGCACGAACAGTTAACAGAACAACATCTCACCTTACATGAATAAATCAGAAAGGACATATTCTCAGCAATTAGACACTTAAAGTGTTACCTATTAGTGCGATAACGCTACACGTGCGATACAGGGAGATTGTGACAGATGTCCTTCCTCTCTTACTCCAAATTAAGGTGCAATATCACACCACGCTCTCCATCTCGGAGCTCGTGTTTTGAAGGAAATCTGAAGGCATAATTTATTGCCAGATTAAAAATAGTTAACTCTTGCAGAGCCGGAGGAACAAAAGCCTTGAATGCTCTTCCCCTAGTAATGTTTCTATTATATCATGTAATAGAACAGAGAATGATCCTGATCCAGAGAATGATCCTGATCCAGAATAAAAAGGCAAATATTTGACTTGCATCAGTGGCCTTGCTGTGAATGGTTAAATTAAAGTGATACTAAATTTAGGAGTTAATCTTACAAATACATTCAAGTTCCATAACTATTAACAAAAATGTATCTTATTTGTGTATCACTCAGCTGTAGATCCTCAAATCATCTCTGAATTGGTGCTTACTTCTGGAGAGTGGCTGCCTTTGTTCCCCAGGCTCCCTGTGCGTGTTGTAAAGCAGGGGTCACCAACTACCATGCCGCAGACCGGTACCAGTCCGTGGCCTGTTAGGAACTAGGCCCCAGGAGTCTGGTAGAATCTTGTACGCGTTAAATATCTGAACCCGTGCATCACTTTTGGAGTAGTCGGGGGGGGCGTGGAGGGGGGTGTTGGCTGAACGTGCAAACTCAGAGCCACTGATCAAGTCCAGAAATGTCACTGGCAATTGCACATGTGTGCAGGGAAGCCGGTCCATAACATTCACAGCCGAGGCAAACATTAACACACGAGCGCCTGTGCAGGGAAGCTACTGGGTTTACAGTGTGTTAATTTTTGCCTCGGCTGTGAATGTTATGGACCCGCTTCCCCGCACATGTGCAATGCACCCATATTTTTTGGATATGCCCAGTACTGAAACTATACTGGTCCCCAGATTAACCTTACAGGTGTGGACTTTTATTGGATGCACTTCAGGTTTTCCTCTAAATGTGCTGCAGTTTTTCTTGACCCCCCCCCCCCCCCCCCCCACACTCTTCTTTGGCA